TGTATTTCTTATAGATGGTGTCGGTGTTGTTGGGGTAGTTTAAATCATTTTAAAAAAGTGAAGGTTTGTCAGCATAATTAACCCGATACCTCCGTTGGAAGAATTCTCACCAGAATTAGAGCCGCAGATTCGGTATTGCCCATACAGAGCACAGAATTTAGATAGTGTCTGGTAATAGTCAATTGTATTTTCATATCACGCTATGCGAATTCTTTCCGCTTCGGCAAAGCGTGACAACTTACACAATACATAGACAGTAGATCACGCACTGATTTTAAATGCATCAAAAACCATATTGTGAGCCGAAATATTAGCGCCAGGTCATACAAAATTAAAGAGTTTAGCAATTCAAGAATTGACCACAGCATTATTGTATTTCCGTGGAATGTATAAGGTATTGATGTATTAGGAACTTGAGTTCAGGACGGAATTTATTTAGATCTTGAGAGTGGAACATTGTGAACGAGATCGTGAAGGAGGAATAAACGCATTTATTGGATACATACAGTCCTCTTGATTGGAACCAACGTTGTGAGTACCCTGGTCCCAGAGATTTTTCTTGATTTTTCTTCTTTTCGCGAAGCGGCGAGAAAGAAAAACCTCTGGTTACATTCGTCTTGTATCACTTCCATGCAGACGCCAGCTGTCAAACGCGTCAAATTGATAATTACAAAAGGGACCAGTGGCAACTTCGCAATCACGTGCTTATCAGCCGCTAATGTTGCCACTCGGGTGGTGAAGAGCGTTATCACTTGACCTACTTGGCCGTGGTCAACGCGCGTGTTTGCAAGAATGTTTTCATCCGCAACGTGTTTGGTGAGACTTTCAGTCTCTGGAAAACGCTCCTCGAGTACCGAGGTCAAAATTTCTTCGAAGACACCGTCAGAAACATAATCCATGTCGAACACAGGCGAATCTTGAACGTGTATAAACTGAGAACTGAAGTATTTTGCAAACAAATTCCTTCCCTGGTATGGATTAGTCTCCTCCGCAGCCGTTTTTTGGGATGTCACGCAACGCTCCCCCAAAGAAACGCCTGCTCACATCCGAACCACATTCTTTTCCTTTTGTGTTTGTGGTTTGTCTGCGCTCTGTTGAACAGACCAATCACATAATAGCAAAGTGTAAATGACGTAAGCTTTCGCGCGAAACGGCCTGCGGTGCGAACACGCCAGGGATTTCTGGCTTTTGTTTCACGCCGCACCGCACGTCGCCAAAAATAGGCGGTGTTCGCAGGCTGCGATCATGACGGACGAATAAAAGATAAAAATGAAAACCCTAAGTGCTTCATGTGCTCATCGCTATATTGGTTGCGTGGAATGTATCCACTACCATCGACCGAGCAATTTTGAATTGAGTGTCGCAAAACCAAAACAAAGGGAGCCCCAAACAGACGCAACAGACAAAAGCAACGCAATGAACCAATCATAATCGGAAGCCAATACACAGGGTAAAACGCGTTCGAGCAAGTCGCGGTTGTTCTTGGTTTAGTTTCTGATTGATTGATTGATTGATTGATTGATTGATTGATTGATTGATTGATTGATTGATTGATTGATTGATTGATTGATTGATTGAGAAAGTGGTGCGAGATTTAGTGCCAATCGAAAAGCGTATAGGAATGTAAAACAAAGCATTAGTGAAAGGGGCTGTCAAAGAGCTCACGTATTTATTTCCGCTCGCCATCTCCTTTGCTCCACTCCGACAGCACCCCAAACTTCCTTCAAAATGTGTAGTGATATTACGGAAGGACGTTACATCATTGAAAACGTCGAGACACAGCGTTTCTTGTTCCAACAGGGACCAGAGATTAAAGGTAAACGCGGAGATGAAGGAGGTTGGAAGGCTTCTTCTGGCTTTGAGTCACCGTCAGTCATGGGAGCAGATGCAAACTACTATAATCGAGCCCACTGGAAGATAATTCCACAAGGCAATGGCGTATACTTGATCGAAAACGAGGAGACACGGCGCTATTTGTTTCAGGACGGGCCAAAGATTAAGGGCAATCGTGGAGATGAAGGAGGTTGGAAGGCTTCTTCGGGATTTGAGTCACCGTCAGTCGTCGGAGTAGATGCTAACTACTACAATCTTGCTCTCTGGAAGATAATTCCAAAAGGCGACGACAAATACTTCATTGAAAATGCCGAAACCGAGAGGTATTTGTTTCAGGATGGGCCGAAGATTCAAGGCAATCGTGGAGATGAAAAAGGTTGGAAGGCTTCTTCAGGATTTGAGGCACCTTCCGTGGTAGGGGCGGATGCCAACTACTACAATCGGGCCCACTGGAAATTGCTGAAACAATAGAATAAGAAAAAGGACGTGAACTGTTTGCTTTAGGGTTTCCTTGATTTTTCCTTGTATTTCTTATAGATGGTGTCGGTGTTGTTGGGGTAGTTTAAATCATTTTAAAAAAGTGAAGGTTTGTCAGCATAATTAACCCGATACCTCCGTTGGAAGAATTCTCACCAGAATTAGAGCCGCAGATTCGGTATTGCCCATACAGAGCACAGAATTTAGATAGTGTCTGGTAATAGTCAATTGTATTTTCATATCACGCTATGCGAATTCTTTCCGCTTCGGCAAAGCGTGACAACTTACACAATACATAGACAGTAGATCACGCACTGATTTTAAATGCATCAAAAACCATATTGTGAGCCGAAATATTAGCGCCAGGTCATACAAAATTAAAGAGTTTAGCAATTCAAGAATTGACCACAGCATTATTGTATTTCCGTGGAATGTATAAGGTATTGATGTATTAGGAACTTGAGTTCAGGACGGAATTTATTTAGATCTTGAGAGTGGAACATTGTGAACGAGATCGTGAAGGAGGAATAAACGCATTTATTGGATACATACAGTCCTCTTGATTGGAACCAACGTTGTGAGTACCCTGGTCCCAGAGATTTTTCTTGATTTTTCTTCTTTTCGCGAAGCGGCGAGAAAGAAAAACCTCTGGTTACATTCGTCTTGTATCACTTCCATGCAGACGCCAGCTGTCAAACGCGTCAAATTGATAATTACAAAAGGGACCAGTGGCAACTTCGCAATCACGTGCTTATCAGCCGCTAATGTTGCCACTCGGGTGGTGAAGAGCGTTATCACTTGACCTACTTGGCCGTGGTCAACGCGCGTGTTTGCAAGAATGTTTTCATCCGCAACGTGTTTGGTGAGACTTTCAGTCTCTGGAAAACGCTCCTCGAGTACCGAGGTCAAAATTTCTTCGAAGACACCGTCAGAAACATAATCCATGTCGAACACAGGCGAATCTTGAACGTGTATAAACTGAGAACTGAAGTATTTTGCAAACAAATTCCTTCCCTGGTATGGATTAGTCTCCTCCGCAGCCGTTTTTTGGGATGTCACGCAACGCTCCCCCAAAGAAACGCCTGCTCACATCCGAACCACATTCTTTTCCTTTTGTGTTTGTGGTTTGTCTGCGCTCTGTTGAACAGACCAATCACATAATAGCAAAGTGTAAATGACGTAAGCTTTCGCGCGAAACGGCCTGCGGTGCGAACACGCCAGGGATTTCTGGCTTTTGTTTCACGCCGCACCGCACGTCGCCAAAAATAGGCGGTGTTCGCAGGCTGCGATCATGACGGACGAATAAAAGATGTAAATGACAACCCTAAGTGCTTCATGTGCTCATCGCTATGTTCAGGCTAATGAGAGAATATATATTTTCTGGAAATGTCAAAATGTAAGCGTCAATCAAGCGCTAAACGCTTCCTACAGATTGAAATCAGGAGGAAAGAGCGGCAATCAGAACTCGCTGTCAACAAATCGAGCGAAGCTACTTGATTTCCTGGTTCCTTTATTAAGTTAAAATAGATATCTTCCTTCTGAACAATAATTTTTTGAGTTGAATGCTTCTAATAATTTGCTTGAACTTTGAAGAGTCTTCAGCTACATAGAAAACTCGTTCAAGCGTCGCCGGTATTTTTCGGCGTCCATAAACAAAAACCGGAAATCTGTATGTTCATTTGTGACATCTCCAACGACGGGATACAAAGATAAAAAACATTCTCTGATTGGACTAGTTTCAAAGGGCGACTTTGGCGCGAAAACGGTTTTGAAAATGGAACGGAAGCGGTGGTTGGCTAATTTCGTGAAAGGAATGTTGTTCGGGTTTGAGCAGCCGTTTCTTGAGGGGGAGCGTTGCGTGACATCCCCCAAAAAAGGCTGCAGAGGAGGTATGGATAGGCAAAATTTACCTCAAGAAGTGCAGTGACAGATATCCCCACCGTCCCACTGTATTACCAATCAAACGAACCAATCATGTTGATTTGCGTGTTTGTAAAAATATCAAGCAATCCGAGCCCCGACCGAGGGTCAGATCCTGGCCCTGGCGTCTGTCCCAGGGCGTCTGTATGAAAGTGAGATTCAAGTCCAAGGTAACCAGAGGTTTTTCCTTCTCGCCGCTTCCGGACTCGTGTTTTCACCGCTTCGCAGCTCTCTCATGCGAAGAAAAATCAAGAAAAACCTCTGGGACCAGGTTAGCTCAAAGTTCACAAAGGATCGATTTACAAATGTGATATGACATGAGTCATGATATGATATGATATATTATGTGATATGATGTGATATGATATGATATGATATCATATATGATGATATGATATGATATGATATATGATATATGATATATATGACATGCTATGATATATATATGATATATATGATATGATATATATATGATATGATATATGACATGATATATATGATATATGATATGATATATATGACATATGATATGATATGATATGATATATATGATATGACATGATATCATGTGATATGATATGAGCCGCGAGAAAATCAGCGGACATTGATTGACAATTTTGACACCACCAGACTCTATACTATTTTTGCATGTGGTCGGGTTTCAGTCAGTATAACCTGCGATCAGGCGGTTTTTTTTTTTTGGAAAGGAGGAGGGAAAAGGGAGAAGAATATAAGGGAGGGAGGGTATGATCACAGGTTACAGTCAGTACTGTAGTCCAATTTCGAGAAGTTTATTCACGTTCTGCCAAGTCTGCCAACCGGTATTAAGCTCACCAGTATTGTTGTTACGGTTATACTCCCGACTATTAACGTTACAAAAATACGGAAAATACACGGTTCAGACGGCTTATTAATCCTTAAAGCACGGATTACAACCACGGCATGCAAACGTATACCAAAACCTAGCTCAAAGTTCACAAAGGATCGATTTATAAATGTGTGTCAATGATACCCATGATATGTGCCGCGAGAAAATCAAGGTGGCTATGAGCCACTGAACTTGGAAAATGGACCGTCTGTAAACAGTGACGATTTTGATGCCACTTACTTGAGGTTCTAATCCGTAGAGTTAGAGTTTAAGCCCACTGGCACTAAGAAAGAGTGCAAAACGAAACGGAGACGTGACACCGTTGAAAATATTTATGAAGTTTTCCGTGATCCCCGTCCAAGACAATTTAAAGAAAGTACCGCTTCTTGTCCGATTTTCTGTCGTTCTTTATTTTTCCAGCCAATATCAGTGATTTTTTTTCTTTGTTTTAAGAGATCTTAAAAATCAGAAAAAAAGAAAGATGTATCCCACGTAGAGTCATAAAAATTAATACCACAAGGACAGCACTGCGTCTCGTCGGCTCAACAAAGTTAAGCCCTGTTCATCGGGGTTTCTACTTGGCCAGGTGACCCGTTAAAAAATCGTGTAAAAAATTGTGTAATAACTATCTAATCTGAAATAAAGTTTTACTATCTCAAATGTGTCGCGCACTTGTCTCTTGTGCCGAGTTTAAAGCCATTCTGACGCCGTTTAGTGAAGTTGTTCGAAATCGTTCTCTCTCCTTCTAAAAGAAGTGACAGGCAGACCGCTTCATCGATCGCTGGCCAGACGTCACTCCACAAATCGCTCTCATCTCAAAAGGAAAAGTCCCGAATCGTAATAAAACCAACAGCTGCATAAAGCCCAATAAATTTCACTCCACGTACGTGTGCTTCAGGGGTCGAAAGACTCGTAAAGAACGAAAAATTTGGTTTCTAAAGTTCGCCTCTTCGGCTTCACAAGGTCTTCTAAGCATATTTCATGTTGCTCTCACATTTTACATCTGGCAGGAGAGTGGAACTGCGCGCGTGAAATGCCGTGCACCAAAGCTAAGGAACTCAGCCAGTTGCTGAAGCCCTTGGCTTCAGGAAAGTCGTGAAGTTTCTTTCACTTGTCACTCAATCATGGTACATTCTCACAATGCACTTTTGTGAGACGGTCATGTAGCGGGAATACACAGGAATAAGGCGTTCAAGGCTGCTTCTGTGAAGGAAAAAAAACAAGATTAAAAATATGCTAAGTACAAAAAAAATCCCTAACAGTAGAGAAAACAATAGCTTACAATGTGATCGGTTAGTGAACTGTAGTTAATTACGGTAACAGGTCGTTTCGCCCCAAGTCCGTTTCTCCCCGAACCGTTTCGCCCAAACTCAGAGTCGTTTCGCCCCACAAAAAAGTCGATTCGCCCCGACCAAAAGTTTTATTAACGCAAATTAGAGTAGTTGGCGTCCAAATGTGTTTCAATTTCTATATTTCCTTCCTCAACATACCTGTCGAGGTGGTAACTTTCGCCAACGACCAGTTCGTATGAATTCGATTCGCCAATGTCCTGGATCAGTTTGTGTATGTCAGTTCGCCAACGTCCACAATACTTCCTGGAAAAGGTCTCAAATGTATTAACAAATCACCAGAGGAATAAAATGTCACTTTTGTAAGATGACATGGGTGTTTATAGGTTGTTAGTGTCGGTTGAAATTGTTCGTTTCACTCTCCCCAATCTCTCTCTCCCCACGCCATGTTGATGCGCTGGTTGATCGATGGCGAACCTGCGACCACGCGTGCCCTCTTTTCTTTCTTCGCCTGATAGCAAGTTTAATCGATGGCCGATCGTGTTTGTAAAACTTTGAAAACCTTCAGCGGCTTTTTGCCCTGTAGAGTTTGAACCGTCTGTAAAACCTTTTTGTTAATCGTTTACCAAGAGCAATTGAGTCTAAATATGTTTGTTTGTTGTTGCACTCGCATAGCAACAAAGTCAATCAAAGTCCGTTGATCGATCGATGGCCGATTGTATTTGGAAACTTAATAAACCTTCCCCAGCTTTTACCTGTAGAGTATGAAACGCCTTTTAAACCTTTCCCCTTTGTTTTTCACAGCAACAAACTAGTTTACTTAACAAACGACGTTTGAGTATAAGCTTCTAGTTGCGACCGTTGTAAATAGGTTTAGGCCACGTCAGCTTGGGTTCCGTTTAAAACTAGGTTCGGTTCGGTCGGAAATTAGTTTCTTGATGCAATTGTTGTAACGTGAATACGATAAAAGGTTGCAATAGAATTTGAACTGTGCAGTTATAGTAATAACATGTAAATAGTTACGTAGTATTACTCACGCGGACGATGTGGTCCATTGTCTCTTCCCCGGGTGTCCCTTGCATCCTTATTTGAAATTTGTGGTACCGAATGTTCAAATTGACACTTCTCCGATCCCACAGCCAAAAAATAAACATTATTTGGCCTCGAATACTCCCTAGCCCCTCTCTACTCCCTAGAATACGTCCTTCGAGCTAAAAGGTGAAAGAAGTGAGACTTGTTCTATAAGCGGCGCTAGATGTTTACACGTAGTAACGTGCATCGTATTCAATGATCATCTCGCCGGTAGGATGAGGAAGGGTGTCAACAGTGTTTGTTTTGTTCAAGTTAACCATTTATTGCTTTCTAAATCGTATGAAAAAACTTCGGGCGAACTAACTTTTGGTCGGGGCGAATCGACTTTCAGTTGGGACGAATCGAATTTCAGTTGGGGCGAAACGACTTTGAGTTGGGGCGAAAGGACTTTAAGTTGGGGCGAAACGGACTTGGAGAGAAACGGACTCGGGCGAAACGACCGCAGTTCTTAATTACCATTATAATCCATCAAATATTTTCGCTCGCGCACGATTGGTCTAAACGAGTCACGTGACTGAATATTTCCCAGCTAGAACTGGGGAATATCAGGGGTTTTTTCACAGCTGCGCACGTTGCGAAGATTTTTGAAGGATAACAAACACAAATAGCATCCATTCCGTTCGGAGCCTAGGACATTATCTGTTCCTCAAAGCTCACAAGAGTTTTCTCGAGCTACGCTCTCGGAGAACTGTTCGTTTCCCGGAACAGATAACGTCCGCGGACAAATATCCGAGTATACGTATTTTCGCGCTATTGTTTATTTATTATTTTACTTTTTACTTAACAAAAAATACGACTCTACAGCCAGTGCAATACGGATATTTTGCGCCCTACCTTGACCTAATATGTTAAAATGGCGGTCTAGTGGAATAATAAATTAGTATCATACCTGTGTAAGGAGTCCAACTTGCTACATGTATCCACTAAAGAACTAAGAAATATCTCTGTCTCTTTGGAATCCCATTCAAGCTGTTTGCATGGCTCTATGAACTGTTGCAAAACAACAATAGCAACATCCACATGTCAGTCAACCA